CCCTATGAAGCGGTATATAAGTCTAACTGCTGCTACTGCTAGTTAGGTAAAACTGAGCAGGAGGTTGGACTAGAAGGCCTCCAAGGTCCCTTCCAGCTCTGTCATTCTGTTAATCAAGGAGAGAAGCAACCTAGAACTAAGGAGAAACTTCCTAACAGTGAGGACAATTAAGCAGTGGAAACAACTTGCCTCCAGAAGGTGTGGGTGCTCCATCCCTGGAGATTTTTAAAGAAGAGATTGGACAACCGTTTGTCTGAAATGGGTTTCCTGCCTGAATAGGGGGTTGGACTAGAAGGCCTCCAAGGTCCCTTCCAACTCTGCTATTCCTACAGTGTGCAGCCGGACACGAAAAAAGCCAATGCAATCCTAAATTGCGTTAACAGGGGGATACACTCAAGATCAAGCGAGGTCCTAATACCACTCTATAAAGCCTTAGTAAGACCACACCTAGGATACTGCATCCAGTTTTGGTCACCACACTATAAAAGTGTTGAAACTCTAGAAAGAGTGCAGAGAAGAACAATAAAGATGATCAGGGGACTGGAGGCTAAAATATACAATGGACTTTTGCAGGAACAGGGCCTGGCTAGTCTAGTGAAGAAAAGGACCAAGGGAGACATGATCATGATAGCATCTTCTAATATTTGAGGGGCTGCCCCAGAGAATAAGGGGGTCAAGCTATTTTCCAAAGCACCCAAAGACCAGATAATGGAAACTAATCAAGGAGAGATTCAACCTAGAAATAAGTTGGATTTTTTTATGACGGTGACAACAATCCACCCATGGAACAGAAGTTGCCTTTTGGAAGTTGTGGGAGCTTCATCGTCATCATCCCTGGCAGCTTTCAAGAAGATGGCTGTTTGTCTGAAATGGTGTTTGGTGGGGTTGGACTAGATGACCTACAAGGTCCCTTCCAACTTGGTTCGCAAAGTTATAAAAAAGCCCAGCTCAATTTCTCCCTTAGAGCCAAGGTGGCGCAGTGGTTAAATGCAGCACTGCAGGCTACTGCTAGATCAGCAGGTCAGCGGTTCAAATCTCACCGGCTCAGGGTTG